CTCTTGGTAGGACGTCCCCAGAAGACCTCACCTAGGAGGCATCCTAATCAGATGCCTGAACCACCTCATACGGCTCCTTTTGATGAGAGGAACAACCTCTCTAGTCTTAGGCCTTTTCGAATGGCCTAGGTCTTCACCACATCTCTAAGGGAGAGCCCAGCCATTAAAAGAAAGGAACTAATTTCTGCCACTTGTTTTTCCAATCTCATTCTTTTGGTCACCAACCAGCGCTCATCAGTATAGATGAAGGTAGGAACAGAGACTGACCACTAAATCATCAGCGTCACTTTTACATTCAGCTCTCTTTTCACCACAATAGATCAGTAGAAAAAGAGTGATTCCATTCAATACAATTTTAATTCAAGTTTAAAGGAGCTTCATGTTGTAAGGCAGACCCTACAGTAATACAGCAAAAATTCCAACAATCAAACCCCCTGTGAGCAAGGTCTTGGTGGGAAGTGGGAAGCAAAAACCCTCTTTTAACAGGAAGAAACCTCCTCTACCATGACCAGTTGGGGGTGAGGGGAGTGACACAGAACAAAGACACACTGTGGTACAGAGCCAGAGGCTAATATTAACTAATGCAAAGAAATTAGATGCAAAGAGCTGTATAAATACATACCAAGTAAAAGAAGGAAAGTGCATCATGGGAAACCCAGCAGCCTAGGCCTATAGCATTGTAAATAATGGAAGGGTCCCCTGATCCAGCTGTAACAATGTGCTTTATCAAAAAGGAAAATTTTAAGTCCAACCTTAAAAGTAGAGGGTGTCTCTTTCCCTCACTCTCTCTAATCCAAACTTGGGGTTAGTACCACAGAAGAGAGGCCGGGCTCTGCCTTCCATTCTAATTTTAAATAACTTACCACAAGTAAGCCAGCAGTCTGAGAGTGCTCTAATGGAGTGATATGGTACTATGAGGACTTTAAGATAATATAGCGAGTGATTATTTAAGATGTATGTGAGGAAAAAGAATTTTAAATTCATGTCTGGATTTAACAATGACCCAGTGAAAGAAGCCAGAATCAGTGAAATATGCTCTCTCTTTCTAGTCACTGTCAGTAGTCTCAATGCAGCATTTTGGACCAACTGAAGGTTTTTCAGGGAATCTTTTGAGTTATTCCTGTCCATGCTGTGTCCTGCATTTGGGTCCAATCCTACCTGCCACAGCACCTCACATGCAGGGATTTGCTCAAGTCTATTCTCTGGTTTTAAGTTTGTGGTGTTCCAGTAATTTATTTACTATTTTAGTTTGTTATTTATTTCCCTAATGAGTTCTCAGTGGGACTGAAGGATAATTAGAGTAATGAAACACAGTTTAGTCAGGGCCTTGTCTTTGTGCTATGTGTTTATGAAGGTGTCTGTTTGTTACCTTTGTGTGTTCCCATGCCATTGGGGTTCCTTGTTGTTTTTGCCTCAAGGACTTCATACTGCTGGTACTACTTGTCTCCCACCATTAAAAAGTACACTTTAAGTTTATCTGCATGTTTAATTTTTAAATCATATTGATCTCTTCAGTGGTCTTTCATGCCATTTCTTGACTTTTCTTTAGTTTCATCATGATTTAGATGTCCCATTTCTCTCTTAAAAAATGGGAAAAATATATATATACATATCATCATAAAATGAAAATGACTGTTTCTGACCCCCTCGCTGTAGAGCGAAGTTACTAATCTTCCCTTTTTTGCTTTTTTACAACATACTTCATTGTTATGGAACGCCAGGACTGTCATAATGAATTAATTAAATACACCATTAAATAATTAATTAAATATGTCAATAATTAATTGAAATTGGAATTAATTAATTAAATAAATAGTTGTGGCACATGTAATTAATTAATTATTCACACATTTAATTAATTATTTATGTATTTCACATTTTAATTAATTGTTGACACATTTAATTAATTA